GTATATGTTTCCATGGTGACAGTTTACAGCTAGATTCTCAGCAGGACTAGAGGTATACCTGGTAATACTAACACTTTCATCAAAAAGTGATGACATCAAAAAAGAAGCTATTTACAACCTTTTGCTACCAATTTTTATTTTAACTATATTACATTCTGCCAGATTTTAAAATTAACAATTAATATGAAGTCCTTACCCTATCAAAACCTCTGTGCATATCAAATATAAAGCTATACTATCCACGTATCTACTCTTTCATTTAAACACAAAATTTTTGGATTACACATTTCCTGGTGTGTCCAGGCAGACTTCTTTTAAGTTTGATCAGTGATTGTAAATTTGAAAAGAAATAGGTTTTGGGGTATCTTAAAAAAATAAGTATTTTTCAACATCACCTTGAAACACACCACCAAAAATATAATTTTATTTCTTCTCTTGTTCAAACTGTTATGGGGAGTTATATTGAGAGATGAATTCTGAGCACATTATTTTGGTACTTTAACTCTGAATTTCTAATTTAGGATGAACTGACGCTCATCTTTGAACAACCTATGCGGGAAAGAAAGTATAGATAATTTTTATGAGCCAGATTACAAGGAAGATATATACCCTATTTCTATTCAATAAGTTATATCAAGTTCTAACCATCACTCCTACCTGGTCATGGATAAATGTTAGTATATATACTGAGATATATAGCAATACCCTCTGCTCTCAAAAAACTCAGCATCTTATGTTTGGGTTACAGGAACTACACAAAGGAATTGTGAAAACAATTTTTAAACAACTGCAGGGGGGAAAAAAGCAACTTTTAATAGCTTGGTATAATGTACAAATAAAATTGCTTAAGTAATTTAAAAAAAAAAAAAAAGGAAGCATCACTGTGAGCTTGTGTTTAGGAGGCAAATTTTTAAACTGAGCCTTAAAGGAAATATTAAGAATTAAACGAAGTATTTTAGGAATTATTGACTTATACACAAATAGAAAATCCTTCTTTTTTGTTCATTAAAGCAGGTTTCTTAGAGGGTCTGCATAGCCAGATTCTGTGAACCTGATTCAACTAATTTACTTAAAGGTAATAAAAGCTAAATTCTACTTCAGTTCTCCATATTTCTAACTCTCCATAACTCCATTGCATTTTTGAGTGCTTCTAAACAAAGTTCTAGGGGTTTCCCAAATCTTCAATAGAACCTTTCATTATTGTCTCTTTTCAAAAGACAATAAAGATTAGCAAACTTTAGTTTCTTTAGATACTATGTTTAAAATAATTTTAAAACACCAACAAAATTATTAAAAGCAGTTTTTCTTATGTTAGATATCAAACCTATTCATTTTCCAATTTCAGAAAAACAAAGCCATAATCACACAATTTATAGATTACTGAAATAAGTACTAAGGACTTGTTTATCAGCATGTCCTAAACCACCTGCACCAAAAATAAAAGTATCTCAAAACAAATGCAAATAACCTTAAAACTCTAGGAAAATTTACACTGGCACAAATATTGTATAGTTTAAATATGTGCAAAAACCCTGCTTCCACCTGTCAGGAAGTAAATACTCAGTTGAAAATAAACCGAGTACCCTTCCACTTTTATTACTGCCTTTGGTCATTAAAGTAAAATTCAAACACAAACAATATGATACATTTTCTAAATCAATTGTTTTAAAGAATCGTATTAGAAAATAGTTTGGAAGTCTTTCAAAATATGGCACACAGAACAAATCCAAAACCCAGGCCGCTGTTAAATGCTCATTAACGATCAAGTTTTTGTATACTATCTAATTCACCTGGTCCAACTAGGCCTTTGGGCCCAAAAGTACTTAACTTGTAATAATGTAATCTTGTTTCTTTAAACTAAAATACCATCTTGCAAGGGTCGGGAATAAAATTAGAAGAACTTGACTAGAAAAGATCAATGTACTCTCTTTAATAATCAAAAGCATAAGGAATAAGGCCTTTCATTCCAGGAGAAAGGCCATGACTATCCCGGAATGGTTATCTGTAGTACAGTACTCTCCTTTAACAGAATCTACCATTAAAACAACGAATGGTACACTAAGAAACATCATTAACTAATTTTTAAAAATATGTATAAACGGTCCTATCATCACTACCACAGTTCATTTTCGGCTATTTAAGGGCTGGCAGAAGGGTTTAATACACCCACACACCCCCAAGGGAGGGGAAAACCACCAACCTCCTCCCAGGAGTTTAATGAAAATTAGCAGGTAAGAGAGGCCTTGGCCAGGAAGCACGTTGAAAATCCAAGAGGGCGGTGGGAGGGTCGAAGGGTTCGGATTGCGGAGGAAAGCCTGGTTCTCGGACCCACCTCCCCTCACCTTCCTGATAGGAAAAGGAGGCGAAGGTTCATTAGAGCCTTCGTTAATTGACACCTGTAATAAGGAAACTTTCCGAGCGTTAAGACCGCTCAGGCCCGGCCTCGCCGCAGCTCCGCGGTGGCCCCCTCTCGGGCGCTCAGGTAACCGGGCCAGGCTGGGCCCGAGGCGGCGAGGCGGCCGCAGCACCGCTCACCTTCCCAGGGCGCTAGGCCCGCACGCCGCCCGGCTCGGCCGTCGCCTCCCGCAGGCCGCGGCAGCCCGGGGAGCGGCGCGGGGACCCCAAACCACGCACCCCAACAGGCCGCCGCCACGGCTACTTACTTTCATTTAACACCTCCACCAGGTCTGCGCAGTTCTCGCACATCGTTCGGCCGCCGCCCCCCCCCTCCCCCGCTTCGGATCGCACAGACTGATCCCGACCGGCGGGGGGGAGGGGAGAGAGGCGGAGGAGGGGGCTGGCCGGCCGGCTGGNGATGAAGAGCTATGACGGTTTAAGCAGGTAATATGATAATCATATACTGTGTTTTAGGCAGGCTACTATGGAGAAGTTGCACAATATAAAACATTTTTTTTAACTGGTAATTAAAAATACCAAAATGAAAAAAAATAAATAAATAAAAATAAAAACAGTCCCTGGACAATAAAAAATTTAAAAATACCAAAATGAAAAAGCAGGAAAAAATGTATGTGATAAATAGGACCAAGGATTGATATACTTAATAAGTGAACAGCTCTCAAATAACACAAAACATTATAACACAAAAAGTGGTAAAAGAACACTGGCAATGCATTAAAGAAGAAATGCAAATAGTCAATAAAAATATGTGTTTAAACTTACTAGTAATTGGTTATTACGTTTTTTGCCAAAATAACACTTTAAGGATAATGTTCAGCACAAATGAGAGTGCCCAAGTTGCACAGACACTGCTAAAAGAATGGAAATCAGTATATCCTTTCTGGAAAGCAACTGAATAATATAAACAAAAACGTGTTCACATTTTCACACGTAATCATTTCTAGGAATCTACCTTAAAGAACCAATGATGTAATTAAAAGATTTATATACTAGAATGCTCATTTGCAGCATTATTTATAATATGGTAAAACTGGAAATAAATATATAATAGGGAAACATTAACTTGTATACAAAATTATTATACAGACAAAAAATGTTTTCAAAAAGATAATAAGGGGGCCGGCCGAGTGGCGCAATGGTTAAGAACTGGCTTGGGACGCCAGAGGGCCCCGGTTCGGATCCCACATATGATGGCCAGTGACACTGCCCTCTGCAGTGAAGCAACGTCCTCCACAACTAGACTGAAGAACAAAACAACAGCAACTTGTCTGTTCCCCTTCCCCAATTCCCCAGCACGGTTCCCATCCCCCAAAATTCCCAATAAAAATCTTTAAAAAAAAAGTTAATAAGGGAAATGATCAAACATACTTGTAATGTTAGGTGAAGCTAAATATTAAACTACATGTGCCTCATTCTCAATTTTAAAAATATAAATGTGTACCAAAAAATAAGATAGAAAAATATTTCAAAATATCAAAAGGAATCATCACTGGATGGTAAGATTATGGGTGCTTTAAACTTAAATTGTTTTCAGTATGTCTACAATGAGAATATGCAAACTTTATAATTTGGAAAAATGAAAGTGAAAATAAGAAAGGTAACCCAGCCCATTGAGCTACAGTCTGTCACACCTTGGTCAAGTCATTGAAAAGTTTCTGACTTTATCTTTCTGAAAATATAAAAATTATCATCAATACACATAAGAAATGTGTAAATATATACTATCACTATTAAGCATATATGAAACAGCAACGTTTCACAAAGTGCTAAAGCTAGTTACCGTGTTTCCCCAAAAATAAGACCTAATGGAAAATAAGCCCTAGCATAATTTTCAGGGTGCTTGTAATATAAGCCCTACCCCAAAATAAGCCCCAGTTAAGATCGTCAACCAGACATGACTGTATTTGAATAAATGTAGATTTTTGTACGTGAATAAATGAATAAAATGAGTCTTTTGGAGCTAAAATTAATATAAGACCCAGTCTTATTTTCGGGAAAACACGGTATCAATTCTTATTGACCATAACTATACGCAGATAGCCTTGCTATTAATAATCTACTACATTTGTAGTGCTTCACGGTTTCTAAGTTACTTTATAAAGACATTTGAATTGAAATTATGAATACTATTATCTTTGAAAAACGAAATTTCAAGTATTAATTGGTTTAAGAGGATATATACTTAGCAAGGTTAATTTACCAAATAAAAACCCATAATTCGGGACTTTGTATTGCAGTAAAATCAGATTTCCAATTTTAAGAATCAGTTCAAATTTTAGAATTCAAATCTACCTAAAAATATTATGTTACTAGTTATTTATTTAGTGTCTGTGTACTTATCTAAAAAACTCCATTAATGTGTAGTTTATTAAAGGGCTCACTGATGACAAACATCATTTAGATTATTACCATTCACCTGCATTTACCACTATAAATTCCTACTATAATTACCATGGAATTACACCTTAGTTTATAAAAATGTGTAATTTTTTTATTTTGACAATCAAACAGTGTACTCAATGGTCCTTCACTTGAACAGATCAGCATTAAGTTTATACAGCATAGCATAACTGTTAAGGAGCATGGGCTTTACGCCTGATCTGAGATTAAGTACTGTTCCAATCCTGGCTCCACTTAATAGTCATGTGACTCTACACAAATTTGGTAAACTAAGCCTTGGTTCTTATCTGAAAAAGGTGACAGAGTACCTACCTCAAAGAACTGATAGAGTACCCAACACAAACTGCTCGAGAAGTATTCTGCTTTAAAAATGAAATGAAAATAAAATTTTATTCTGCAAATACTAATACCAGAGTATCTTGAGTTCTAGCTTAGATATGACTACTGACTAAGCAGGTGACAGGTGATCTTTAGCAAACCACTTAACCTTTCTGAGGTTCAATTTCTTCACCTTTAAAACGGAGGTACCAGTATCTTTCTCCTGCCTATCTCAAAGGATAATTAGGGAGGACAAATGAATTGTCCATTTTAATCTATTTGGTAAACTGTAATTCACCTCACACACAGAATAAAATCCACAACACAACAAATGATTTAGAAGACTGATATATATATTTAAAGCCATTTTCACTCTACTCTCAAAGAAATTCACCTTACAAAAGCAAATAATGACCTCAATTTACTAGTGAGCTAGCTATAGTGATGGCCCAAAGGATAATTTCAGGCCTCCAACTTCTCATCAACATCCAGAAATGCCTTGGATTTAGTAAACTGGCTCACAAAAGTAGCTATAAAAGCAGCAAACATACTAACTCAACAGAACAAGCACAGGAATATAAACTTAAAATTATCTCCTAAACTGAACGCAACCCCACAAACTGATAGTAGCAAAATTCACTCAATACATTCCAAACTTTTAAAATGCCTTCCTCATTAAAAATGAAGCAACGAAAGGAAAGCGGGAAGTCAAATATGTTAGTATTGTTGAGAATGCTTATTCTAATACTAAAGCTAAATGCTATTTTGAAATGTAATTTGAAGTTTTAGGATATCTGTCAAGATCACATTAAAAAGGGAAGAAGGGGGCCGGCCGAGTGGCGCGATGGTTAAGAACTNTGTAGCCAGCAACCAGCATGAGCGGCCAGTAGCCGCAGTGAGCGGCCGTCCAGAAGCCAGTGACTGATCTACCTCGCCTGGGAAGAGCGCCATGATGGTGCCAACTTGGGCCAGTGAAGCAACGTCCTCCACAACTAGACTGAAGAAAAAAAAGGGACAGTAATTTGTCTGTTCCCCTTCCCCCAATTCCCCAGTGCTGTTCCCATCCCCCAATTCCCCAATTTAAAAAAAAAAATCTTTAAAAAAAAAAAAAAAGAAATCTAAGTAGCAATGGCTAGGGAGCAGTCTCTTCCCGGGGATGTAAGATTAAGTTCTCTAGTAGAGATAATGGCCAGGGCAGGAAGAGAAATCTGTCTTCTACCACATTAAGTGCAAGAAGAGGCCAGGCATATACTATTGTATATCAATTCTCAATTAACTGAGTAACCTCCATTTGGAGACTTTTTAATTTCTATGAAATTTGAGAGAAAAATAACATTAATAGATGTTAATCACATTAAAACGTACAAAGTCCAATTATTTTCCTGGTATATAAAGTCCTAAATAAAAATAATATAGCTAAATTGCATCCCATAGAGCCAAATCTCACCTCCCAGGTAGAAACAGAACTATTTGTCATTTTGCATTGTCTATTAATTTAGAACAGTTGGTTAGGGTGGGTTATTTTTTATAAGTATACCTATTGGTTTATGACTAAGATAATAAAAATCAGTATATATGATATAATCTACAGCTACAGCATACTTTATCCAGAAACTCTATCTAAATCAATACTGACTAGGCTGAAGAACACTGATTTACCTAGGCAATCACATTCTTCTAACGGTAACTTTTCACTAACTAAAATGTTTACTAAACAGACTCTCTACAAGGCACTGTATCAGGACTGGGAAAAGAAATAAAACATGGCTCCTGACTTTAAGGAATTCATCACCCAGCAAGGAAGGCTGTTAACTTAAAAAAAAAAAAAAAAAAGAGGATATACGAGTATAATAAAAGTATGTATTCTAAATTAAAGGGTATAAGCCAGGGCCGGCCGAGTGGCGCACTGGTTAAGAGCTGGCTTGGGGGCTGGACGAGTGGCACATTGGTTAAGAGCTGGCTTGGGACGCCAGAGGGCCCCNGCTCTTGGCAGCTCACACCGGCTGCCGGCCACACACGGTAACTTACTGCAGCAGGGGCTGCAGCCTATGCTGTTGCTGTCGCCTCATGGCAGCCCAGCTCCAGATCGAGCTGTTGTTCACCATCTTAGCTGTAGAAGGCAGTGTCACTGGCCCTCATGTGGGATCCGAACTGGGGCCCTGCTGCTCAGAGCTGGCATCCCAAGCCAGCTCTTAAACAATGCACCACCCGGCCGGCCCAAAATACTATTTTTCTTTTCATTTTTTTCAATAATAAGTTAAAAATTATTTTTAGCCCATAGACTATACAAAAATGTATAACCAGCCAGATTTGGCCTATGGGCTATAGTTTAACAACCGTTTATCTGCTTCACCTGCTTGTTAATAAAACAAGCCATAAAAACAAGGTTGCTTGCTTCCTAACTCGACTCTTCACTATCCTGTGCTAAGTTGGTATATGTCTCAAAAGCGACCTTTTAATGTACTTGAAAGGTGTGTATTCTAAAAGAATGGAGCAGAATCTCTGATAAAATATCCCCTAAATTCTTATAAAGCTGGATTTTAAAACCTATAATCAGCATCACCATACAGAACATTCATAAGGATGACTATTTTCAATATTTTGTATACATATCACCATCTAGTGGTAGAATTGTGCTTTGAATAAAATTATTAATCTATGAAATTTCAAGTTCTCAAATTTGCAGTATATTTCTAGGTATTTGCCTGGAAACCAGCCCCACATAAACAACTTTGGAAAATTAATATTGACATGGAAATTATTTGTCCGTAGCATTCTGTTTGCTATTTTTGAAACAAGATTTTGTCTCTGGATTTCGGGGTTATAGTTTGGTGTTAATATCAGAGGCCAGAGTTATTGCGGAATTTACTCCTCTCCCTCATACCCACACTCATCAGTGTTTTGTGGAACTTAGGGCCATTATTAGAAAGGCAGTATGCTATTTTATTTTCCACAGCGCCCAGCAAGTTGTCTGGTTCTTAAATTGCCAGAATGATTATTTTAAAAAAATAAATTGGCAGGCGGGGCGAGTGGCGCGATGGTTAAGAACTGGCTTGGGACGCCAGAGGGTCCTGGTTTGGATCCCACATATGAGGGCCAGTGACACTGCCCTCCACAGCTAAGATGTTGAACAACAGCTCAACCTGGAGCTGGGCTGCCGTGAGTGGACGGCAACTGTGTAGGCTGCAGCCCCGTGGCAGTGGGTTGCCATGGGCTACCGTATGTAGCCAGCAGCCAGCATGAGCAGCCAGCAGCCGCAGTGAGCAGCCGTCCAGAAGCCGGCGACTGATCTGCCTCNAGGGAGGGAGGGGGCGGGTGGGGAGAGAAGCAGCAGAGTCACTTCACCGACCAGACGCTGCGGCCACCGCCGACGCCGCCGCCATTTTAATAGAGCGTTCGGGCTGCGCTCGGCTGTTTCCGTCCAGGCGAAGAAGCGGACGAGAAGCGCCTCGCGCTCTCATTCCTCCGCCTCCCGCCCTCTCTTCGCCTCCCGCCCTCCCACCTCTCCCTCCGCACACACGCCGCACTCTCCACACCCCGCCGCGGCCAGCTCGCCGCCCTCCCTTTCCTCTTCCGCCCGGCCTCCCCGCCCTCGGTCCACCCCCTCCGCGCGCTCGCCCACCCCGCCCAGCCCGGATCTCTGTCAGCGGCCGGAAGGGAAACGCGAAGCCAGCGCGGCCGCGGGGGGAGTCCGGGTGAGTAGAAGATGGCGGCGGCACCAAGCGGGTCGCGATTGCGCGGCGTCGCCCGTGGCGGCCCATTCCGCGGGCTCCCAGGCCCAGCGAACGCCGGGTCACTCGCGCCGCCCTATCCCCCGCCCCTGCGCTTCGCCATTTTTCCTCCGGGCCCACGAAACGGAATAGGTGCTGATTTCTACCATTTACTTCCTCGCGTTCAGGCATTTGGGGTGGGGGAAGCTAGGGTTAATGGGGAGCTGGGCTGACGTCGCAACCCAGGTTGGGGCATACAGCCCTGTCCTCGTCGGACTCAGAATGGAACAGCCCAGGGGCCTGCTTAACCTGCATCCTTGTTCCTCGCTACCTTCAACCTGTAAGGCTCAGCCGTCCTTCCAGCAGTCAGACACCTTGAAGTGACTAGAAATGGCGGAGGCATCGCTCCCGTTTTACACAAGAAGGCCCCTCACGAATTGCCCATCTACAGCTCTTCACCTGAAATACCATATTATGTTTCTCGGCGAAGAGCAATTAAAAAGGATATTAAGATGGGAAACGGAGAATGAAGAGCAGGTGAAGGAAAAGGGGATACAGCTGAGGTTTGATATTAACTGGTGTAGCTTTGGGAAAATTTTCCTCACACCTGCACCTATACCTTCCTCCTTGATTTCTATATCCAATATGTTCATATAGAGATGTGGCTAAAAGTCCGGAAGGTAGTGTACATAATATTTTTGGAACGCTAACGAGAGCAGATGTTAAGTAGGAATTCTTCTAGAGGTTTTGTAGGAGCTATGTCACACCATCATCTCTCCCTTCCAGAACCATCGAGAGAGTTATTCTTTACCTTTCTGCTGCTTGAATTTATGCAATAAAGTTTCTGTCCAACCTGTTTTAAGTGGCTCCATATGAGCAGGTTATCCTTAGAAGTTGTAGAGCTATTCTGACATCTTCCCTTCCCGTCTTTCCCACAAAACGTGAGTTTCTGCAGACTTTGGATCCTGTAGCAGACAACGTCCATCTAGCATCCATTCCCACCCACCCCTCTTCCCTACCAACAGGGAAACTTGCCAAACCCATGTTTTTTGGTTTGTTTTTCAGGTGGCAGCTGAGAGACCTTGGTCACAGGAAGGAAAGCCCCAAGAAATACTGGTTACTGATTTAAAACCAATCATGGGGGGTCGGCCAAATGGCGCGATGGTTAAGAGCTGGCTTGGGATGCCAGAGGGCCCCGGCTTGGATCCCACGTATCAGGGCCAGTGACACTGCCCTCCACAGCTGAGATGCTGAACAACTGCTCAACCTGGAGCTGGGCTGCCTTGAGTCGCCGGCAATGGTGTAGGCTGCAACCCCTGTGGCAGTGGGTTGCCATGGGCTACCGTGTGTAGCCAGCAGCCAGCGTGAGCGGCTGTCCGGAAGCCAGCGACTGATCTGCCTCTCCCAGGAAGAGCGCAATGATGGTGCCAACTTGGGCCAGTGAAGCAACATCCTCCACAACTAGACTGAAGAACAAAA